GCTAAAGGTGACATAGATACTTTATTATGGATAGTATTTAAATATATGCCTGAGAAACACATAATATTGCCCCTTTAAAATTTATTAGAGGATTAGCACTTGTTAAATCTATAGGCTAAATTTAGAAGCACTAACTGAGGTCTATAAATGTTATTGCTCAACATTAATGTTAACAACTGAAAGTGAAAGCTGTCACACATTTTGTTCATATGTGTGTCACTTATCCACCAGGTGATAATATATTGACGATATATGAAAGTTAAGAGAGCAATATGGCAACATGTGACATGTTGTCTGTTGAAGAATGTTCATGGGTTGACTGGATTATTTTTAGTGCTTTAGAATTAGCTTCTGCTAAAACGTTCAGTGCATTTGTGCTTTAGAATTAAGGGACCTAAACTTTTGAGTTAGTGTTTTAGGGCTAGTGGAACTAATTTTTAGATTAGTGCTGCCTACCACTGCTTATCAGCATCTACGTATTTATTATCCTAACAGAATCTTCAGTATTCGGCAACCATGAAAGGCACACTATAAGGATTCAAGGATGTATGTATTGTGTGGCAGTTAAAATACCTCATGAACCACAGCCATCACAACTAATCAACCTTAGCAAACACAAAAACCACTGTAATGCAATTCATTTTACAGATACGGAGTTTGAATTTGAAGTGGGAGAGTCATGCTCCTCATGCAAGTTGGCAGGCAATATGCATTAGTGGGCACAGCTAACCACCAAAAAATTATGCAAGCTAAACCCCTAAACAGGTTAAAAAAAAAAGTGCATGCTAATGCTAACTGATATCTGCTAACTCAAGATTTGTAATCAGCGCTATATTGTCTCCAAATAGTTAATCCACCAAGATAAAATCTGGTGGAYCTGCGCCCCACGTCTTCGTCTCCTTCCAGCTGAAGATTAATGCAGRTGGACACACAAAATCCTACAGATGCTACACAMAGAAGRCACATGATGCAGGCTTGCAGCACCGCATGTTTCAGAGAAAATGTGTTTTTGTTATGTCAGCAGACAAAACCACCAGAACTAAATGTAATAAAGGTTTCCAAAGGTAGTGAAAATCTGCTAAACGAAAAGGTAGCTTCACTATTAGCTGTTAGAGGATTAGCRGAACTGTGCCCACCAGTGACGTGGGGTGAGGTTCATGGGTGATGAGACACTCGGTTCATCAAAATCAAATTACAAATATATGAACCCATCCGAACTTATTCATCACCTGGCAGGAGTTACGATTTATATTTCATCACATATCAATATTCTTTACATAAACTGTAGGTCATTTGATGCACGTCATTAAAACAAATTTGTGTCATACCTTTACTTATAAATGAAGTCCATGCATTGGTCACAATATCCTGTCTGAGTCCAGCTATTGTCACCAGTTGATTAAAAAAAGTTTCTCTCAGGACATCCCCAGAGACACTTTTTGTTTGAGAAGAGCTTTTGTCTCGATGGGTCTGGGCTCTGGTGGCTGTAGAGGCCGTTAGAGCTCAGTGAGCTGAGACTAATCAAACTAGGCAATGTTTTTCCAGTGCACTGCTCTGGGTACTGAGTACAGGTTAAACTGTCTTGTAGACAGTACAGACATTATGTCCATGTAGTTGAGGGAACCATGCCTTCTTTACAGATGGGTGGAGGCTGCAGGTTATTCTTATGCAGGAACTTTAGGGGAAAGTGGACCAGCAGCCCTCGGACTGCTTTCAGCTCCTCCTCTGCCTGCTCCAAGTTTGTTTTAAAAAGGGGTTTCTGGCTGTTATACTCTGGCAGCTGCTGTGTGCTGTGAACGGCGTCGCAGGGAAGACATCTAAAGACCTGTGACAGAAGCAAAACCATACAGTGGGGGGGGNGGGGGGGGGATAACAAAGAAAAGAGAAGTGAGAAAACCAACAACAATGATGACAAAAAACGTGCAGTCTGCTAAAATGTATACCTTCTCATAAATTTTAGTGTTAAGTTCAGCAGTTTTGTTCCAAACCCCAAAGAAGTCATCACTCATCGGATCATCTATATTGATACTGGGTTCAGAGTTTGCACCAAGAAGAACACTGTTACAGCAGAGAAAAATAAATATCAATACAGGCCTCAAATTAAATGAATAGTCTGGACATTTTGAAGTCATGTTGTTTCAGACAGTTATCAGTAATTACTCCTTTTAAGCTGCGATATCAGTCACAAGAACATGGAGTATTAAGAAATAAGCAGAAGTCCTCCCTCAGGCTATGTCAATGTCAACTTTATTTCTAGAGCACTTTAAAAAAACAGCAACCAACTGCACCAAAGTGCTGTACAGTAATCATGAAACAACTGATAAAAACATACTGAAGTAAAAACAATAAATTAAATACACAAGACAGACAGAATACAATGTAAATCCTTATTGAAATGCCAGCGAGTAAAAATGAGTTTTCAGAAGAGATTTGAAGTGTTCCAGATTATGGGCAGATCTAAAATTGAATGTTAAGTTGTTCCACAAATTAGGACCAGTGACAGCAAATGCCCGGTCTCCCTTTCTTTTCAGTCTGGTTCTGGGAACGTGTAGAAGCAGTTTATTGTTYGACCGAAGTGATCTAGAAGAAGAATAGTCATGTCATGTAGAAGATCCTTAAGATAGGCTGGGGCCAAGCCATTTATTGCTTTAAAAACCAATAAAATAATTTTAAATTCAGTGCGATAAGAAATTGGCAGCCAATGCAGAGAAGCCAGTACTGGAGTTATATGATCATGTTTTTTGGTTACAGTTAGAAGTCGAGCTGCAGCATTCTGAACCATTTGGAGATGTTGTAAAGAAGATTGGTCCAAGGTTTTTGCATAAAGAGTTACAGTAATCTAAGCGTGTAATAATGAATGCATGAATAATTTTCTCAAAATGTTTGAAACAAAAACTTGATTTTACCTTTGCTAGAAGGCGCAGATGAAAAAAGCTTGATTTCACAACAGCGCTCACCTGCTTATCCAATTTCAAACAACTGTCAAAAATGACACCAAGATTCTTAACAGAAGACTTGTAAAAAGGGGCTAGAGAACCAAGAATTTGTTCATGTTTAGTAATAAGGTTCTTTTGCCCAAAAGTATGACTTGAGTTTTATTTTGACTCAGGTGAAGAAATTTTTGGTTCATCCATGAACTAACTTCAGTTAAACAATCTGTTAGAGACTGTAAGGAATCATATTTATCATGTATTTTCTTTATGGGMACATATATTTGGACATCGTCTGCAAAACAGTGAAAATAAATACTATATTTCTTAAAAATGTGTCCAAGAGGCAGCAAGAACAATATAAACAAAATAGGGCCTAAGATTGAACCCTGAGGGACTCCGTAATTTAGGGGTGCTGCCACAGAAGAACAAAGATCAATGTGAGCAGAAAAACTTCTATCTTTCAAATATGACAAGAACCAATCTAAAACTGTGCCCTTAAGAACAACACTGTGTTGCAATCAAAACAGGAGGATGTCATGGTCTATAGTATCGAATAATGCACTCAGATCTAATAACAATAGGGCCGCAACATCCCCTGAGTCAACTGTTAAAAGGAGATCATTAAATACTCTAAGCCAGTGGTTCCCAAACTTTTCAGCCTTTGACCCACAAAATAGCAGCAGCAGAGACCTGTGACCCCAGCTGTTGTCGGTTGATGAACATTGTTTTCACGTCAAAATAAGCAAGAGCATAGTATCATTATTTATTATGCTATTTTTGTCCATTTAAGTACACTTCTTATTTTGTAAAAACAAAAGAAAAAATGTTCTTAGTTTTCATTTTTTAGTGTATTTATCTCAAAAAATATTTTCAGGACCCCACCTTGATGTTTCAGGAACCCACTGTGGGTCCCGACCCCAACTTTGGGAAGCACTGCTCTAAGCAAGGCCGTCTCTGTACTGTGTCCACATTTAAAACCAGACTGAAATTTCTCAGATGTCATTCTCTGTTAAATAAGACTAATAGTTAGCCAAACCTGGGCCTCAMTCTTTTATAGTTTTTAGGCTTAAAACGTGTTGCAGATTAGAGTTCAACTGATGTTATTTTTTTTTTTCTATGGCCGATGCCCATCTTTATGAATCAGTGCAGCCTATGGATTATAAACACCAATTCTTAAGCTCAACATGCATTTTCATTAAAAAAATATTAAAATAATTGCCTAACTGAAATAAACATATGTTCTACAATCTTAAAAATTGTTTGTACACCTAAAAATAATATATACTGAAAATTATTTTCAGTGGTGGGCATCGTTCTGCTAATCAGCTAACAGCTAATATCTGAACAAAATGTTTGTTTAGTGGATTTGCTTTTTCACTAACCTTGAAAACTGTTAGCAGTCCAGTTGGTCTCTGCTAAATTAGGTTTTTCCCAACTTTAAGTCAGCTAACAGCTAACTAACAAACTAACTAACATTAACTGGTTTGTGTCAGTCCCATCAGTCTTCAGCTAGAAGGAGACAAAGACCAGATCAGAGTATTTCTTTTTCCCCACAAAGAGTAGACTCATTAATTAGTTCAAATTACAGAATGCTTTTATATAAAATTTAGTAAGACTATCTAATTTTCCCCCTCAAGATGACCATTAATACAATGTCATTTGAGAAGGAGCACGTTTAGCCCTGACCTGAAGCACTCTTTGCGTAGCGCGAGAGTGAGGGGTCCTGCTTCGTACTCCTCTCCTCCCATGATGGACGGGACCCTCTCCTCATCCTCCACCAACACGCCAAGCTCGCTGTCCCGTTCACCCAGCATGCTGCGGTCATTGATGTTTGCTGATCCTGAAACACCAGTAGAGTACAAACCTTTTATATTTGTCCTTTTAGGACATAGATCTCCAATAACTAATAGAATGTTTTGGAGTACTAACTTCAAATATTCTCAGTCCAGTGAGATACTACCTTACATGAGTTTACAGTCAGAGTCTCACCAATGATGTAGCAGCGGTCGTCAGCAATCAGGATCTTGCTGTGAACGTAGATCAGCTCAGTGACAAGCGACCCGGAGAGCTTGGAGTGAGTTCTGAGACCACAGAAAGTGATGTACTCTTTCCAGTTGTCGATCTCTGAGGGACAGATCAGAAGATTACTCACAGTGGAAAATCTGTGAAGGTTTATTGGAAATTTAATGCRCATGTGTGTTTCTTAAAATAAACATATCCCAAAAGAAGTCAGACAGTGGTATGGTAGGCAGATGTACGAGTAATTTGGATTTAAATGAGTGACAGAAAAAAAAGACAGTAAAAAAGTAGTTAATGCATCAGATAATTGGATAATGAGTTGAAACAAAGCAGATAGAAAGGAAAACTTACCTTTACTAAGCTGTTTCAAGATGGACACCTCCCCACGGTTAATCGTTCTTATGCATAAAAAATACAATTAGGGGGCCATAAAACACCATAAAACAATTAAATAAACCATGCAACACAAGACAGTTATCAMATTTAATGTCATAATCTCTTAAACATTAAATGAAAAATATTTTATAGTTATAAACTAAAGATCCTGATCCTAAGAATCTGTTCAAGTTCAATTTGGTCAAATGTTTACACTTTGCACTTTGAACATGAGGTTATGTTTATTACACACACACACACACACACACACACACACACACACACACATATGTATGTATAGTGGGTGATCATTTTCTTTATTTTTCCCTAAATAAACATATTTATGAAACCTACTATTAACAGCATTTAAACAAAGTCAAGAACAGAGTGAGCCTCTACATACAGACCTAGGCTACACACTGACTGGAAACAGGTCTGTGTCAGATGAAAGACAAAAAGAAAAAAAAAAGGAAAAACTTGCTATTTCTGTTCAGAGGTTGAGAGAAGACTGATAATAGAAGATTAAGACTCACCTATAAGTGTAATGTAGAATAGCCTGGATGGCATTTCCACCTCCTGTCTTAATGTCTCCCTCAAAACCAGGWAGTAGAGGAATCACCACAAACACCCTGAACTTCTTGTGCTCTCTGTAGCAACAGACAATATTCATTGGTCAGCATCAGTTGTGGGAACAGCTAAACAAAAAGTTAACTTCGCTAACTCATGATCCACTAACTAARAGCTTTGCTAAGACTTGCACTTAAATAATCAGTGGAAGCTAATGCTGAACACGTAAAAATGAGCAGAAGTTAAAACTAATAGMTRAGACGACTGTCAWTCAGYCTGTGTCACAAGCCAGTCTCCTTCCAGCTGAAGACAGGTGGGACTAACACAAATCTGTTGATGTTAGTTTGYTAGTTAGCTGCTAGTGGATGGCAAAATCTATGGTAATTTAGCAAAAGCTAATTGCTTTGCCAAAGCTAGTGAAAAAGCTAAAATGCTAAATGAAAAATTTGTTACGCTATTAGCTGTTAGCTGATTAGCACTGGCCATTATCTTCAAATTCTAAAAATTTCTTTTACTAATACAGCGGGTAAAATAAGTATTGAACACGTCACCATTTTTCTCAGTAAATATATTACTAGAGGTGCTAATG